GTGTACCTCGCTTAAAAAAAAAAAAAGTTTAAACCACCCTTTTCTGAATCTGACCCAGGGTCTCGGACTCCCCTGGAGCAGCTCCTCCTTTTTTGACAATGTTATTGCACTGGTACAATTAATACACAATGCAAAGAACTAATCTGAGAAATGTAATCTGTCTGCCTGAGCTTGTGTCTGCCACGCGAAGGGGGAAGGTGGCCAGGATGCAGCAGCGTACGAAAGCCCCATCCTAGGTGAGCGCAGCCGGAGGCTGTCACGCCTGCGTGTGTGTGTACGTGTTGTGTGTGTGCACATATCATCAGTTATTTCTACTTTGTACATATGAATTCCAAATGAACTGTCTTGAGGTATGTAACATTTCTCAGGTCATTTTTACGTTGACTAAGGACACTGCTTTGCTAAAACAGTACAAAACCAGCCCCATCCACTGCTCGGCGCTCTTGTAACACGTGGACTCCAAGCCAAAAGATTTCTTTTCCCCCAGTCACCATCCCAATTTGTGCGAAGGGAAACCAAGCAGCCATATTTGTATTGCTCAGATGACTGAAGCCTGTAACGTGTGTGCGTACGTGGGGGAATGTACAGCATTTTCTACATCAGGATATAGCCATTGGATTCCTTTAACCATTTTTTCTACTTTTGGTTGGCAGTTTGGCAATTCAGTGGGGTTTTGTAACATTCACATTCTAATTTTCAAGGTAAAGATATAGATAGAGAGATTATATATATATATATAGATATATACAGTTCCACCTCTCTGCTCTGCTTGCAGCTGAGTCAGTCAGGATACTGTACCCAAAGAGTGAGGGCTTGATGTTTAAAAAAAGCGCACAAACTTCCCTTGCAATGGAAACCCCAGTGCCTAGGAGAGATTGATAATGGCACCAAGTGAGGACATGGCATCAAGTGAGGACGTGGTGGCCCTGGTAAAAGAGGTGGGGGCAAGAGGGGAGGAAAAGTCAGAATCTGGGCCTTGGTCTCGTTTGCAGTAGCAACTGTACCACAGAGCTGCTGGACTTTACCCCGACGGGCAAGCTGAACCAGCTTGGAATCGTACATTTCCCACCACCTGAAGTGACCAGGCTGCGGGGAGGGGGTTTAAATAAAAACTAAAATTCCCACAGTGCTGAAACCTATGGCTGGCCGTGCGGGTCGCCAGGCAGGTAAGATGCGGCCACGGCCGGCTGCGGTATGCCGACAGAGTTGAATGTCCTTTTTCCAAACAGATCAAGCTGTAGAACAACTTCTGATTGCTGGTCCACAGCCCCCCCGTGCTGACAAAGGAGTCCAGCCCCCTCCCTCTCGCGTTGTCTGTCATGGATCGTACCCTGTGCTAATTTGCGTTGCTTCTTTTACTGACCTTCTGGAGAACAAGTGCTGTCACTGTGCTCTGTACCCTTGGTTCCTGTACTGCATTACAGGTATTTGTAACGCGGGGGGCGGAGGGGCGCAGCCTCTGAGGTGTGAGAGGCAGCGAAGCAGGAGTTGTCTTTACTGCAAAAGAACTTGCTCCTATTAGAAAAATTCTGAATTTCCTGGAAAGCAATCAATAAATGACTACAGTGCATCTTTCCTACAAGATTTTTCTTTTACTAGTGTCTTTCAGTCCATTAAAAGCTTTTTAAACTATTTTTAGGTACTTTATTTATTGGTTTCTGTACAGTTTGGTGCGAGGTGTTGGATGCCATTAAGCTGAACACCAGCACTGGAGCCACCACTTCTGTTCTCTTGAGCAGGAGCCAGTAGGAGAGACTGGGTACGGATCAGCTGGGGGCTTTAAACCTGCAACTGTGCTGTTGCCTGCAAATCCTCGTTCCCTGTGTCCCGTGCGCACCGTGCCCCGGCCTCGCTGTCCTTAGCGATGCTCAAGGTGGTTTTGCTGACCTGCGCAGCGGCCGGACTGAGCTCTTGGACCGTGTGAAGGTGCTGTGGTCGCTGGAAGGGCTCTCTGAGCTGCACGGCTCACAAGGCGTGCGGGCCAACACTGCCGCTGCGCTGTGCATCCTCTTCCGCTAACGAGGCGCCCCTGCGGACAAAGGAACTGACACCAAACCCAAACCACCTCGAATAAAGCTTGCACCAGAATTGCAACCCCAAACCGGAGCAGTGGGCGCTGCCCCTTCTCTCAGCAGATGCTCCAGCCTCACGCCTGCCTCGGGGGTGAGGTGCTGCTGCTCCAGGGGGCTCGAGGGGAGAAGGGGCGAGCAAGGGCCAGGCGCCCTGAGGACGTTTGTGAACATGAAATGAAGCTGAAGGATGCAAATCCTGGCTCGGCAGCTTGCGTGCTGTCGTTGGTCGCTGAGTAACTGCGTTTGCCACCACACCCTCTGGCAGTCCCTTACCTCTTTCGGGGTTTGGGTGCTCTCAGGTACTTGGTTCACCAGTTCTTGAACAAAAATGCCCATGGAAGAGCTGACTTGAGCTAGGGCTGAGGATGCACCTGGTCAAGAAGAGGGTGGACCTTCAGGAAACCGAACGTAGCTCTGCTGGCCCTGGACCACCTCGCCTGCGTAAGGCCAACTGTTCCCAGCCCCTGTGGTTACACCCATCCCACCTTTTCACCACCTGGGACCTGTTCGGGTCTGGCTCAGCCAGGATTTGACACCCCACGTGTAGAAGCACCGACCCTCAGCTGTGCCCGTAAGGCAACTGTGCGCCGCGGCCCAAGAACCGTGACTGCAGCAAAGTGGAACGAGTTCAGAGAAAGACGAAGAACATCATCAGCACTCCTGGAGGAGGCACAGCGCAGAAATGCACTATTTTTGGCCTCCTTGCTTGCTTTCCAGACGGGGATTGCCAGCACTTAATGCCATCACCCGGCCCGCATACGGTAAAAGCTACAACTACACGTCCAGGAAAGCCCCCGGTTAACCCTGCCCTGCGCTCAGCCCTGCGCAACGGAACGCTGCCCCGTCCCCCCGCTGCCCAAAGGGCCTGCCCGTGTAACTGGCTGTCGTAGCCAACCCTGGCTGCTGAAACACCCATCGGTGCTGTAGCGAAACTGGAGCAGCTGGTGGAAGCCAGGCTCAGCCGCCTGTACCGTGGCCTTCAGTGCGGCACGCGCTGCGCAAACAACGCGTCGCCAAGCTGGAGGGGAAAACGAATTCTTCAACTGCCCTGCTTGCTCCTGGCAGCTCACGCTTGACAGCCCTGCGCTCACCCTGTTGCTAGGCTTACTGGGTCCGCAAACCCAGGAGCCTTTCCTTCAGCCCTGCACCCTAACACCCCCTTGGGACA